CCCCCCCCACTCTTCATAGATCTAAACTTAATCCCTGTTCAGTACATCCACACTTACTACTGGGGCAATCTACATCTACAGGACCTTAAATTCCAATATTAATTTTGACCTAAAATGCTTTTTTGATAGTTGTGACAGAACCCACAGGCATAACACCAAGACAAAAAAACATCTCTTGACATTCCCCGTGTCCGACTAAACCTTTACAAAAATTCAATGTATGTCAAAGGCCCTAAAATCTGGAACACCCTACCTGAAAACTCTAGAACTGCAGACACATTCATCACCTTCAAAACTACCATTAGAAAACATCTTATCTGCCTGATACACCTTGTCAACTAATTACACGAATACCACCTGGTGGTTCACACTTACACTCGCTCATCCATTTGACCATAAAAAGAAATATCAATCTCAATCTTAAAATAATGAATCTTAACTAGTCATAAGTTGGCCTGTAATTCTCCAATACTGAAACTATGTATTGTGCCAAAACAAAAGCATTCACATTGCTAAACTCACAAACTAGTATTTAGTCACTTAGCCATAATACCAACTTACCTCACACTTTGTAATATTTTAAATTTAAGATTTAAACTAAGTTTGCCCAAAATGCCTAGCCATGCTAGGTGTTCTAGTGGTACACTCTGTAATTATTATTTTACTACATGTAAACCACACAATACCCAAATTCTGTAAACTCAGCATTGTAATCCTCATAGAGAATAAACTTTGAATTTGAATTTGAACAACAACACAACACCTCTCGTGACATACATAATGACTTATTTTATTCATTCTAGAGTATATTCCATGTTTCTATGTTATTAATATTGTTTATGATGTCATATTAGTTGAATTGCGATAGATAAATAAGCCATAGAGTTGATATCAGTGTCATATTCTCCAACAATAAACTTGCCATCCCTCCCTCACACAAACAAGTCTTCAATAAGAACATAAGAAAGGAGGAACACTGCAGTAGGCCTGCTGGCCCATACTAGGCCAGTCCTTCACAAATCTAACCCACTAACAGAACAAATGCTACCCAAGCAATAAGCTCAGGTGCAAGTCCAACTCAAATCCAACCCCTCTCACTCATGTATTTATCCAACCTACATTTGAAACTACTCAATGTTTTAGCTTTAATCACCCTACTAGGCAGACCGTTCCACTCATCAACTACCACTATTACCAATGTTCATTTATACATTTTATTAGTGCTTTACATTTTTTTTGGCATTTTTTTCTGCATGTAAATCTATATTTATGCTAGGGAAGTGACCCCTGAAGTGACCTAGAGTCCTTATGGAGGGGATTCCCCTTCCAAACAATAACCTCTCTTCCCTCTCTCCTCCTCCCTGTCTTCCATTCATCAACAACAGCCTTCAATAAAGGTAACTATCACGTTGAATGTTTATTCTTTTGTGCATGTAAATCTATCTTTTAGATAAAAAAAAAAAAATTTTGTTGATACTTCTGGGTGTCTGGAACGAATTAATTGGATTTACATTATTTCTAATGGGGAAAATTGATTCAAAAATCGTCTATTTCGATAATAGTCCCACTTCCAGGAACGGATTAAGGACGATAATTGAGGGACCACTGTATAGCAAAAAAAAAAGTAGATAAAAGGTTTTTTACATGTTTTTAAATGTAAAAAAAAAAAAAAAAATCTACATTTTTTTACATACAGTGGACCCCCGCATAACGATGGCATCACATAGCGATTATTTCGCATACCGCTTACTTTAATCGCAAAATTTTTGCCGCGCATACCGATTAAAAACCCGCTTACCGATTTTCGTCCGAGACGCGTCCAATGTGCGCCCTCAGCCAGCCTCACATGTGCCGCCCGTGCCATTGTTTACCAGCCAGCCTCCGCGGTAACATCCAAGCATACACTGGGAAATATTTCATATTATTACAGTGTTTTCGGTGCTGCTTCTGGAAAATAAGTGCCTTGGCCCCAAGAAAGCTTCTAGTCCCCAACCGAACACCAATAAGGGTAAGAATTCCCATTGAAATGAAAAAAGAGATCATTGATAAGTATGAAAGTGGAGTGCGAATCGCCGACCTAGTCAAGTTGTACAAGAAAACCCCCAATCAACCATCGCAACTATTGTGGGCACCAAAAAGACAATCAAGGAAGCTGTTCTTGCCAAAGGTTTAACTGTGTTTTCGAAACAAAGATCGCAAGTGATGAAGATGTTGAGAGACTCTTATTGGTGGGATAAATGAAAAACAGCTAGCAGGAGATGCGTCTCTCAAGCGATCATTTTGTAAAAGGCTAGGAAGTTGCATGAGGATTTAATTAAAAAAATGCCTGCAACTAGTGATGATGTAGTGAATTTAAGGCCGCAAAGGTTGGTTGAGAGATTTAAGAAGGGCGTAAGTGGCACCCAAATAGTGTGATAAGGCATGGTGAGGCTGCCATTTGGGACCACAAAGCGGCTGAAAAATATGTGCAGGAATTCAAGGAGTACATAGAAACTAAAGGGACTGAAACCTGAACAAGTGTTTAATTGTGATGAAACAGGCCTTTTTCTGGAAGAAAATGCCAAGCAGGACCTAAAATACTCATGGGGGAAAAGGCACTCCCAGGACATAAGCCTATGAAAGACAGGTTTACTCTTCTCATGTGTGCCAATGCTACTGGTGATTGCAAAGTGAAGCCTTTATTAGTGTATCACTCTGAAACTCCCAGAGCGTTCAGGCAAAAGAATGTCCTCAAAGGATAATTTGTGTGTGCTGTGGGGGGCAAACAGTAAGGCAGGGGTCACTGGGGAAATTTTTTTCTATAACTGGTTACACCATGCTTTGCCCCCAATGTGAAAGATTACCTAACTGAAAAGAAATTAGAACTTAAGTGCCTCCTGGTGTTAGACAATGCCCCTGGTCATCCTACAGACGTGGCAGAGCGACTTTAGGGGACATGAGCTTCATTAAGGTGAAGTTTTTGCCTCCTAAAACCACTCCTCTCCTGCAGCCCAAATGGACCACAGGTTATTTCCAACTTCAAGAAACTGTACACAAAGCCTTTTTTGAAAGGTGCTTTGTAATGACCTCAGAAACTCAACTGACCTAAGAGAGTTTTTGGAGAGATCACTTTAATATCCTCAATTGTGTAAACCTTATAGGTAAGGCTTGGGAAAAGTGACTAAGAGGACCTTGAACTCTGCTTGGAAGAAACTGTGGCCAGAATGTGTAGACAAAAGGGTTTTTGAAGGGTTTGAGGCTAACCCTGAGAGGATTATGCCAGTTGAGGAATCCATTGTGGCATTGGGAAAGTCCTTGGGTTGGAGGTTAGTGGGGAGGATGTAGAAGAGTTGGTGGAGGAGGAAAATTTGAAGAACTAACCACTGATGAGCTTAAGATCAACTTCAAGAGCCAGAGCAGACCTGGGGAAATTTGTTTCAGAGGAGGGGAGAGAGAAAATTGAAGAATTGCCTACTACAAAAAATAAGGAAATCTGTGCAAAGGGCTTGAAGGCCAAAACCTTCATGGATGAAAATCACCTCACCACAGCTATTGCAAAGCCGTGTTGGGTCAAAACCTGTACACTGACAATGTTGTGAAATACTTTTAGGGAAGGGGATAAAGGAAAAGAGATGTTACAGGCCACTATGGACAGATATCTTGTGAAAGAATTCCAGTGGACTCTGAAGGGCCCTAGTGGCATTAAAAAGAAGAAGGGAAGTAACCCCAGAAAAAAACTTGCTACCTCAAGTCCTAAGGAAGGGGATTCCCCTTCTAAACAGAAAGAAAGATAATGCCTCCCCTCCTCCAACCCATACAATCATCACCAATCTTCAATAAAAGTAAGTGTCATGTAAGTGTGCATGCCTTTTTCAGTTTGTGTGTATTAAAATTAATATTTCATGTGGTAAAAAAAATTTTTTTTCATACTTTTGGGTGTCTTGCACGGATTAATTTTATTTCCATTATTTCTTATGGGGAAAATTCATTCACATAACGATTATTTCGCATAACAATTACCCCTCTTGCACGGATTAAAATCGTTAACCGGGGGTCCACTGTACTTTCAAATGTTGAAAAAACGTAGATCTACGTTTGGACAGTTTAAGGGTTAATATCCAGAGATGAAATGGTGTGATGAAAAGCTAAAAATCAACAGAATCACGCATAGCTTAATAAGATATAGGACATGTACATGTGGTGAACTAGCTGCCTGGGAGGTTATATACATAAAGAGTGAGATTGCGGGAGGCACAGTCTCATGGCAGTTAATCTGTAGGCTAGCTGCCTTGCAGAGGAGGAAAGATTCCACAGTGTGACATATTTTCTCCTAAATTTATGGTGTGCTATATATCTTCCCCATGTGAACTGTGAAATTTGGCACAAAATTTCAACTGCACCTGATTAGTCTCTATCAAACAAATGTGAACTCTCTACACACACATAAAATGAAAATTCACAAAATATTAATTCACTTGGTAAACATCTAAAAAAAATTATTTATTTACAATAATCTTTGTTTGAATATTTGCAATAATTATAACTGCAGATCAGCATTCTTTAGTAATTAGTCGGTTCCAAAGTGCCAATACAGGAGGGCCCCACTTTACAGCATTTCGTTAATACAGTAGTTTTCAATTATACCTATTCTTTATTTATTTATTCAGACTTATACAATAAATATATTCATCACTAACTATAAGCTAAGGACTAAAATATTTTGTGAATTTTCATGTATATGCATTTTTTAGGCCTAGCTATATTGCTCACTTAATACATGATAACGTAGACATGTTATCTGGCTTTTATATTCATTTAAAAGTGAAAAAAAAAAAATGCTATGATTCACTTGACAGCAGTAGCCTGGAACCTAACTTGCTGTAAAAGTGGGGCCTGCCTGTACTATTAGTGAGGAACATTGTAAGTCAGAGCCCTACTGTATATTACAATGCTCTTAACTTGTTTCCCACAGAGTAACACTGCCTCACAACTAAATCTCAACAGTAGTGTCTTTATCTCACCTCTAAACACACCAACAATAGTGGCATATGAGCCAAAACAAGCCGATGGCCATGAGGAACATTTGCTTTCTCTGTTAGACGACTGCACAAACTCTCAGCCTCTGAAAATACAATATATGCAGATGGTTTAAAAACTTGACAGTAATTTATAAAACAGATTATATAATTCAACAGTAATAGCCCAAGTAGTAATACCATTTGATCAAATGAATGAGATGTTTACACTTATAAATTCTAATTACAGTAATATTATAAGTTTTATAAATTAAGAAGGAAAATTTAACAGGTAAAAAGTATTATATCATAGAAAAAAATAAGGCCCTTATTTGTTAATCCTTCAGCGTATGAAAGGGCTGTGTTTTGAGCAGGTCAATGAAAGGGACACATAGAAAGCTTAAGTTTTTATGTAAGGCATATTACATTTGCATATCAAATTTATGAATGAATTAAAAAATTTAGTATCCACAAGAAATCTAAATCTAGTGATTATAAGGAGGAAACCACATCATCCCGTTACTTTTTCACCAGATCAGCCAATGCTACAAGTGAAATAAAATTTGCCAATAAATTTATTTTCCAATGAAAATAATAATAATTAATATATATATATATATAAATATATTTTTTATAATATATATATATATAAAAAATATATATATATTATATAATATTTTTTTTTTTTTTCAACAAGTCGGCCCGTCTCCCACCGAGGCGGGTGACCCAAAAAAAAGAAAAAAAAATCCCAAAAGAAAAATACTTTCATCATCATTAAACACTTTCACCACACTCGCACATTATCACTGTTTTTGGCAGGGGTGCTCAGAATACAACAGTCTAGAAGCATACACATATAAAGATACACAACATATCCCTCTAAACTGCCAATATCCCAAAAACCCCTCCTTTAAAGTGCAGGCATTGTACTTCCCATTTCCAGGACTTTAAGTCCGACATATGAAAAAAAACCGGTTTCCCTGAAACCCTTCACTAAATATTCCCTGCTCACACTCCAACAGATCGTCAGGTCCCAAGTACCATTCGTCTCCATTCAAATCCTATCCTAACACGCTCACGCACGCTTGCTGGAAGTCCAAGCCCCTTGCCCCCAAAACCTCCTTTACCCCCTCTCCCCCAACCCTTTCAAAGGGCGAACCCTACCCCGCCTGCCTTCCCCTATAGTTTATATGCTTTCCATGTCATTCTACTTTGATCCATTCTCTCTAAATGACCAAACCACCTCAACAACCCCTCTTCCTGGCCCTCTGACAATACTTTTATTAACTCCACACCCTTTTCCTAATTTCCACACTCCGAATTTTCTGCATATATTTACACCACACATTGCCCTTAAACAGACATCTCCACTGCCTCCAACCGTCTCCTCGCTGCTGCATTTACCACCCAAGCTTCACACCCATATAAAGGTGTTGGTACTACTATACATTTCATACATTCCCTTCTTTGCCTCCATAGGTAACGTTTTTTTACTCCACATATACCTCAACGCACCACTCACCTTTTTTCCTCATCAATTCTATGATTAAAACCCCATCCTTCATAAATCCATCCGCCGACACGTCAACTCCCCAAATATCTGAAAACACTCACTTTTTCCATACTCCTCCTCCCAATTTGATATCCAAATTTTTCTTTATCTAAATCAATTGACCCCCCCATCACCTTACTCTTTTCTAAGTTCACTTTCAACTTTCTACCTTTACACACATTCCAAAGTCATCCACTAACCTTTGCAATTTTTCTTTAGAATCTCCATAAGCACAGTATCATCAGCAAAAAGTAACTGGTTTAATTCCCCATTTTGAAAAATTTTATTCCCCATAATTTTAAACCCACCCCTCCCCCAAAACCCTAAAACATTTACTTCCTTTACAACCCCATCTATAAATATATTAAACAACCATGGTGACATTACACATCCCTGTCTAAGACCTACTTTACCCAGGAAGTAGTCTCCCTCTCTTCTAAAACACCCTAACCCGAGCCTCACTACCTCATAAAAACTCTTTACGGGATTTAATAACTTACCACCTATTCCATATACTGCAACATCTGCCACATTGCTCCTCTATCCACTCTATCATATGCCTTTTCCTAAATCCCTAAAATTCAATAAAAACTTCCCTATCTTTATCTAAATACTGTTTCAAAATATATGCTTCAATGTAAACACCTGATCTACACATCCCCTACCCACTCTGAAACCTCCTTGCTCATCCGCAATCCTACAAATTTTGTCTTACCTCTAATTCTTTCAATTATAACCCTACCCTACACTTTTCCTGGTATACTCATAAGCTTATTCCCCCTATAAATTTTTACAGTCTCTTTGTCCCCCTTTCCCTTAATAAAGGGACTATACATGCTCTCTGCCAATCCCTAGGGACCCTTTCCCCCCTTTTATACATTTATAAACAAAAGTACCAACCACTCCAACACTATTTTCACCCCCCTGCTTTTAACATTTCTGTCATGATCCCATCAGTTCCACTGCTTTACCCCCTTTCATTTTACGTAATGCCTCACGTACCTCCCCCACACTTACATTCTGCTCTTCTTCACTCCTAAAAGATGGTATACCTCCCTGACCAGTGCATGAAATTACAGCCTCTGTTTCTTCCTTAACATTTAAAAGTTCCTCAAAATATTCTCACCATCTACCCAATACCTCCATCTCCCCATCTACTAACTCCCCTACTCTGTTTTTAACTGACAAATCCATATTTTCCCTAGGCTTTCTTAACTTGTTTAACTCACTCCAAAATTTTTTCTTTTTTTATTTTTATTATCACACTGGCCGATTCCCACCAAGGCAGGGTGGCCCGAAAAAGAAAAACTTTCACCATCATTCACCCATCACTGTCTTGCCAAAGGGTGCTTTACACTACAGTTTTTAAACTGCAACATTAACACCCCTCCTCAGTAGTGCAGGCACTGTACTTTTTCCCTCTCCAGGACTCAAGTCCGGGCCTGCCGGGTTTTCCCCGAATCCCCTTCATAAATGTTACTTTGCTCACACTCCAACGCACGTCAAGTATTAAAAACCATTTGTCCATTCACTCCTATCAAAACAAAGCTCACGCATTGCCTGCTGGAAGTCCCAAGCCCCTCGCACACAAAACCTCCTTTACCCCCCTCCCTCCAACCCTTCCTAGGCCGACCCCTACCCTGCCTTCTTTCCACTACAGACTGATACACTCTTGAAGTCATTCTGTTTCGCTCCATTCTCTACATGTCCGAACCACCTCAACACCCTTCCTCCCCCCTCTGGGCAACAGTTTTGGTAATCCCGCACCTCCTCCTAACTTCCAAATACGAAATTCTCTGCATTATATTCACACCACACATTGCCCTCAGACACACATCTCCACTGCCTCCAGCCTTTTCCTCGCTGCAACATTCATCACCCACGCTCACACCCATAAAAGAGCGTTGGTAAAACTATACTCTCATACATTCCCTCTTTGCCCCCAAGGACAAAGTTCTTTGTCTCCCACAGACTCCTAAGTGCACCACTCACTCTTTTTCCCTCATCAATTCTAAAGATTCCCCCTCATCTTTCATAGACCCATCCGCTGACACGTCCACTCCCAAAAATCTGAATACGTTCACCTCCTCCATACTCTCTCCCTCCAAATCTGATATTCAATCTTCATCACCTAATCTTTTTTTTATCCCATAACCTTACTCTTTCCTGTATTCACCTTTAAATTTCTTCTTTTGCACACCCTACCAAATTCATCCACCAATCTCTGCAGCTTCTCTTCAAATCTCCCAAGCACAGTGTCATCAGCAAAGAGCAGCTGTGACAACTCCACTTTGTGTGTGTTCTTTATCTTTTAACTCCACGCCTCTTTCCAAAACCCTCGCATTTACTTTCTTACAACCCCATCTATAAATATATTAAACAACCACGGTGACATCACACATCCTTGTCTAAGGCCTACTTTTACTGGGAAAAAAATTTCCCTCTTTCCTACATACTCTAACTTGAGCCTCACTATCCTCGTAAAAACTCTTTACTGCTTTTTAGTAACCTACCTCCTACAACCATACACTTGCAACATCTGCCACATTGCCCCCCTATCCACCCTGTCATAAAGCCTTTTCCAAAACCATAAATGCCACAAAGACCTCTTTAGCCTTAAACTAAATACTGTTCACTTATATGTTTCACCTGTAAACACCTGGTCCACACACCCCCTACCTTTCCCCAAAGCCTCCTTGTTCATCTGCTACCTATTCTCCGTCTTACTCTTAATTCTTTCAATTAATAACTCTACCATACACTTTACCAGGTACACTCAACAGACTTATCCCCCCATAATTTTGCAAATCTCTTTTATCCCCTCTGCCTTTATACAAAGGAACTATGCATGCTCTCTGCCAATCCCTAGTACCTTACCCTCTTCCATACATTTATTAAAAAAATTGCACCAACCACTCCTGCTTTTAACAAATTTTTATCTTAAACCCATCAATCCCCCGGGTGCCTTACCCCCTTTCATTTTACCTACTGCCTCACGAACTTCCCCACACTCCCCAACTGGCCTTCCTCACTCCTACAAGATGTTATTCCTCCTTGCCCTATACACGAAAATCACAGCTTCCCTATCTTCATCAAAAATTTAACAATTCCTCAAAATATTCCCTCCATCTTTCCCCAAAACCTCTAACTCTCCATTTAAAACTCTCCTCTCCTATTTTTTAACTGACAAATCCATTTGTTTTTCTAGGCTTTCTTAACTTTTTTAATCTCACTCCAAAACTTTTTCTTATTTTCAACAAAATTTGTTGATAACATCTCACCCCTCTCTCATTTGCTCTCTTTTTACATTTCTTCAACCCCTCTCTTAACCTCTCTCTTTTTCTCCATATACTCTTCCCTCCTTGCAATCACTTCTACTTTGTAAAAACTTCTCATATGCTAACTTTTTCTCCCTTACTACTCTCTTTTCATCATCATTCCACCAATCGCTCCTTTTCCCTCCTGCACCCACTTTCCTGTAACCCAAACTTCTGCTGAACACTCTAACACTACATTTTTAAACCTACCCCATACCCCCTTCAACCCCATTGCCTA